CAATATTTCAAGAGAAATATATACGAATTGTGGAATAAAAAAGCCTCCAGTTCACGCAATCTTTAGAATTTGCACTGTATAAGACCCTCGTTAAAATCTGAAATACATCTTACTGAATTCAAAACGTAGAGAAATAGATATTTTGAGAAGCCGTAATTGTCAACGGAAGCAGTGATGTTTGTGGGGAGATCGCTTAATAATACTAAATTAGAAGCCTGTACGCTTTAACCATCGGCTGTTAGCTGCGTAATGTAGATTAGCAATTAGGACCCAGTTTCGTGAATTTTAAAGCCCTCATAAATGTATGCTAAGTCCTTGGAAATGGCCTTCGCGACTGGATCCACTTATGAGATCGGAGATCATAAAATTGTCCCTATTTTAATGCTGTTAATTTAGCAGTAAAATGCTTTCAGCGTTGGTCGAGAGAATGTAGATGGTCCATTTCAACTTCTCATGGCGCCGCTTGATGCTCTGCTTCTCAGTTAAACTATCAAAAGTTGAAAATGCAACCTGGTTTAAACTTACATTCACCCAGTCCAGACTGGTTGCCTTCACAAGAGTCACGAGTCGCCAGTTCGACAACGTGTTAACCATTTCGTTTCCTCTATCAAAAATCTTCTTTATCTCATCCGAGACGAAGGAGACGATAGTCTGTGCCTTCTCAATTGAGACGACAGCCTGACCAAAGAGCAAGTCTGTCGCAGATGTAAGTTCATGGACGAGAGTTTGTTTGCGGGAATGCTGTTTTTCTCTTAGCATAAGAAGCTCCCTTTTAAGTGCATCCAATGAAGTCCTTTGTAACTCTAAAGCGCTGAATTTCGTCTTCGCTTGTTGAATCATCTATGCGAGCAAGGAAATGCAAAAAGGTAGGTTTAGTAGACAAAAGGAGATGCTTACTCGTCAATATACTTCAATAAGCCTTACCTACAGCCAATCAGCCAGCCGCTAGTGACAGTTTTTAGTTCAGCCTGCCCTGCGAAGTCAGTACTTAGTATCTGACTCCATATGACTATAAATGCGTATCAAATCTGTGCCAAATGCATCCAGAAGGTCGCGTCCTATACTATTTGATGGCGCAATAAAAAGTTGTGTTTTCTAATATCTGCCCTGTGTCAAGTATATGCATGG